TGTAATGTATACATCATCTGTGTGACCATATGATAATTTAAAAATGTGTGTAATATTTTATAATGTGGATCTATCATAATTTGTTCAACTATTCTGATGGATGCCTTTCAGTGTTTCTAGTTTTTATCCCACTCCAAGCAATATAATTTGTATCTTTGTGTTACAGTGCTTTTAATTTTCTAAGCTACATTCTTGGAAGTGGAAATAATGGGTCAAACGATATGTGTGTGTGTGTGTATATATATTTTTTTCATTATTTCAGCTTACACAGGTAAGAAGTCTTATTTTATTTTTATTCTTTCATGTATTTTATTGAAATATAATTTATGTACAATGAAATACACAAAACTAAAGTGACACGGGTCAATGCATTTTTTTTCCCCCGGTGTTCCCTCCTCACCCCTCCCACCCTTGGTAACCAACAAAGAAAGTTTCCCTCCACATATAAACCTTTCCTTGAACCCCCACAACAACAAACCATATTTGTCCTTCTGTGACTGACTTATTTCACTCAGCATAATGTCCTCCAAGTTCATCCATATTATGCAGTGTTTTGTAGACTCTACATTATCCTTTAGTGCTGCACAGCATTCTATTGCATATATGTACCATAGTTTGGTCATCCACTCTTCCACTGATGGGCACATAGGTTGTTTCCATCTTTTTGCTACTGTGTCTGTTCATGTCTTCTGCCCATTTTTCTACTGGATTGTGAATTTCTTTGCTGTTGAGGCACTGGAGCTTTCTATAAATTTTAGAGATAAGTCCCTTGCCAGATATGTAATTATTAGCAAGTATGAATTTGTTGCTGTCCTTTTTGTTATGTGCTTTTTCATGGTGTTCATTTCTTTATTCCATATAATTTTCTGTGCTGACCTCGTTTTGTTTCTGGATCATGTTATCACTTCCTTCGTTGCTAATGTTTTAGTATTTACTAAATATTTGTGCTGGTCCTCTTTTTTATTTTGATGTGAAGGTTTATCATTTTTCTATGAGGTTACCCTGTGATTTATAGTGTTCTTCTCAGGTTTAGAATAGTCTGTTCCATTTTGCAGTTGTCTTGACTTCCCTACCATTTAGAAGTTCTGTCACTACATCGTTTCTTCCCTCTTTTTGGTTCTCATCTGTCAACTGATGTCTCTGTTTCCCTGTTTACAATCTTATAGGTTTTTTTTTACTTTGGATACTTCCAGAACTGGGTTGGTTTCTGGGTTATGACACCATATTTGTTAATGGTCAGTTGTTTGCTGTTGTTGGTTCTCTGTCCAAAGGACTCCCTTTAGCATCTCTTGTAAGGGTGGTCTGGTTTTAACAAATTCCCTTAATTTCTGCTTATCTGGAGATGTCCTAATTTCACCATCATATTTGAGGGATAGGTTTGCTGGGTACATAATTCTTGGTTGGAAATTTTTCTCTTGCAGGGTTTTATATATACTATCCCATTGTCTTCTTGCCTGCATGGTTTTTGCAGAGCAATCTGAGCTTCATCTTATTGGTTGCCCCTTGTAGGTAACTTTTGGCTTTTCCCATGCTGCTTTCAGGATTCTTTCTTTGTCTTTGGTTTTGGTGAGTTTGATGATGATATGTCTTGGTGATTTTCTTTTGGGGTCTATCCTGTTTGGAATTAGTCAGACTTCTTGAATGGATATATTCTCATTTTTCATCATACCAGGAAAATTCTCTTCCAGCAAATCTTCAACAATTTTTTCTGTGGTTTTGTCTGTCTCTTCCTGTTCTGGAATTCTGATTACATGTAGGTTATTCCTTTTAATGGTATCCCACATGAACCTTAGGCTTTCTTCATTTTGTTTTGATCTTTTTTCTGATTGATCCCTTTCTAAAGAAGTATTGAGATATTTGCCTTCAATCTCATTAATTCTGTCTTCCATTGATTCAATTCTACTCCTTTGCCCATTCAATTTATCTATTTCTGAAAATTCACTATTAATCTTCTGGATTTCTGTCTGTAGATTTTCTATCATTTCTAGTTTTTCATTTATTTTGTCATTTTGTTCTTGTATTGTCTTTTGAAAATGTTCTAGCATTTTGTCTATGTTTTCCTCAATTTTGTCAGTGTTTTCCTTGATCTATCTCTCAATTTGTTGAAGATACCTAAATATAATTCTTTTGAATTCCTTATCAGGGAGTTCCAATGCTGTGTCTTCCTCAGGGATGTGTTCTGGGTCTGTATCTAGTCCCCTGTTTCTCTTTATCTTGCTTCTTTGTGTGCACTTTGATACTCTGTTGTCTCCAAGGCATTATGATGTTTTTGTGCTTATATTTAATTGGTGATCATAAGTTGGAGTGACTTGCCCACGATTTTTGCTTTCTTTGGATTTTATCTAAGTAAGAAGGCTACTGTGCTCCTCTATTTCCTAGTAGGCAGCACTTAGACACTTATCACCAGTCTCCTTTCCCATTGTCAGCCTCCCATATGTCCCTGCTGTCCTTGGCAAAATCAATATGTATATTTTAAAATTTAATATATACTGCCATTTTACTTTCCTAGAAATCTTTAGTAATTTTTACTTCTTCCAGGAATATAGGGGAGTGTTCTTTATTTCTTATCTAAAGTTCTTGTCAGCTAAAGAAGTGAAAAAGCATTTCATTGTTTTAATTTGCATTTTCTTGACTACTAGTAAGATTAAGTTTTTCAAGTAATTGTTTGCCATTTGTATTTCTTCTTTTATAAATTGCCTCTTAGTATTTGCCCATTTTTCTACTGGGTTGATTTCTTACTGATTTGTAAGAACTTTTTACGAATATTTATTCTTTGGTACAGTGTCACAGATATTTTTTGTTCCAGTCTACTTTGGCTTTTAACTTTGTTTATCCTATCTTCTGTCATAAACTTTTCAAACATTTTTATGTTATCTACGTACATTTTCTTTATGCTCTGTAGTTTCCTGCATTTGATACTACTTTTATTCCATCACATTTCAAAGTTTCTTGTTAATGTGAATGGGATTGTTTTCTTTTCCATTTCAACCAGACATAAAGATGACATAGAGAAAACCTAATGATTTGTCTTTATCTATTTTGTTCTAGACACCTTTCTAAATTCTTTCCAATTTTTAGACAATTGGGTTTCCAGACATACAGTCACAATCACGCCATCTCCGGATGAAGATCATTTTATCCCCCTTTCTAATACTTTTACCTTTTTTCTTTTATTGTACAGTTAGCTAGAGCTTTTGTCAAAGGTATTAAGTCTCTCTTGTGGGTAAAAATCATGTCCTGCATGGAGTCTGAGCTGTAAGTGGATCCCCTGTTGCTGGTGCCACAATTCTCTTTGTGTTACATCACCATGTTTCCTCTTCACAGCAGAAGTGGTGGGAATCAAAGAACTGCACTGCTCAGCCAATACTTGCAGACAACTTCTTTTCAAACTAGATCCCAAGCTATTTAAAGTTGGGGTAATGTCCCTTATTTTCTTTCCCTCAGGAGAAGCTAGCAGAGAATGGGGCATATAATAACTATACAGTGAACTGTCAAAAAAAAAAAAAAGAAAGAAAGAAAGAAACACAGAAAACTTCAAATTTCCTAACTTCTGAAAGCCAAATGAATTTGATCAATGAACTTAAAGTCTTACATTTTAAGAAAGAAGGATCCCACTAAAATTTATTCACAGCCAGAATTTTTAATAATGTAAACATCAGCAAGGTAAGCAATTTATAATAAAACATACCATTTTGTAATAGTTTTTTAAAATGAGACAGTATCAGGCTTTTAAAATGTTTAATGAATTAAATGATAACTTGATTGCTTTCAAAACAACTCTTTGTAAGGAATTTATCAATTATACTAGCCACATTCTGGTATTTCTGTTTATATAAGCATTCCTTTATTAATTCTAAATGTCAGTCTAGTACACTAAATACATTAAATATTATTTTTGAGGCCAAATCTAAAGCTACAAATTAGCTTTTCCAATACACAGAAGTCATCACTGTCTAAGTTAACAACAGTAATGTATTTATGATACTAAATTATATCTCCAATTACCATGCAATTAATTTTGCATTATTCAAATCTGAACACATTTTATCATTCGATTTGATCCAAAGAGATCAACTAACACTCTGTTCTGATAACCAAAACTTCTCCCCTCTAATGAAAGGCTAAAATAACTGTTAGTAATGAAATCTTCCTGGACTTCCTATAAAAACTTCTCTCTTAACCAATCTGTTCACTCCCCTTTCCCTATTCCAAAAACCCAAACCCACAGACATCATGTAACTTGATTCACAGCAACCCTCTAGAGCAAAGAACTGCCTCACAGGGTTTTCAAGGCTGTAAATCTTTACAGAAGCAGCCTGTCTCATCTTTCTCCCATGAAGTGGCTGGTGGTTTCTAAACCACTGACCTTTCAGTCAGCACCTGAGCACTTAACCACTGTGCCACCAGAGCTCCTTCTTTCCTTACTCAAACCAAACCAAATTTATTGCCACCAAGTGAATTCCAACTCATAGTGACCCCCATTGGGTTTCCAAGGCTGTAAATCTTTATGGAAGCAATTGTCTCATCTTTCTTCCATGGAGCGCCAGGTGGGTTTGAACCACTGACCTTTTGTTTAGCAGCCAAATGCCTTAACCACTACTCCACCAAGTCCCCTTCTTTCCCTACTGTTGTTATTATGTGCCATCGAGTCGGACCCGACTCATAGCGACCCCTCCTTGGGTTTCTGAGGCAGTATCACTATGGAAATAGATTGCCCAACCTTCCTTCCGAGGAATGGCTGGTGGGTTTGAACCGCCAGCCTTCTGGTTAGCAGTCAAGTGCCTTAGCCGCTACGCTACCAGAGCTCCTCTTTCCCTACCAGTAGAATGTAAATTCTGAAAGGCAGCGTCCAAGTCATTCATTCTTGTTATCTCCCACAGTATCTTTCAAAGTGCTCTGCACATGAGTTGTGCTTAATAAATGAATGTGAGACTGCAATGAGCTGAAGGAACCCCCTATCAGAGAAAGATGAAAACACATACGCTGTTCATCCTACTTACGGTTCGGGTTCCACAGTGACAACCGGCATATCTCTTCTCAGTAAGAATCGGTTCTCAGGCACTGGAGGAATCTCTTCTGGGCGGACCACAGGCTTTTCTCTTTTAGCATTTGAATCAGCTGACTTCTTTTCATTGGTATCACTCCTGTCAGAGTGACTTAGAGAGAACAAACCATCACCAATTAAGATACATAATGCTTCCATTTTATAATAAAATTTGCATATAAAATTAGATATTGAACTAACAGCAACTGACAGTTTACAAGTCTCAATCAAAACGTTTATAAATCAATTTTCTCAGAGAAAACATACAAACTTAACCCAGTGAAAATTGTCAAATGATCAAATGGTCCAAACTTTTCTTCTTGAAGAGTTTCAGGAATTATTTTTACCAGCAAACACACACATCTTCAATATCAAATGTCTATGCTACCCTTATATTTGCTAAATTTCAATTTAAAGTTCCAAAAATGCTATCCTTTTTCAACAAAACAGGTAATAAACTAAGTTTGTGGAATCATACACACTCTTCCCATTCCATGGTGGGTTTTGTTTTTGAAGTAAGACTACCCTAGTGTTTGACACTCACCCTTTTGGGCTCCCTATTTGTTTATTCCTTGGCTCTTCTGAACCACTCACTTCCTTTCGTCTCTTTTTAGAATGTTTAACTTTCGGCCTTCTCTTATGTTTCCTCCTTTTGCTTCTCTCATGCTCAGTTTCACTTTCTGAAGATGATTCAGAAGAGGAAGAGGAATTAGAGGATGACTCTGAGTCTTCTGAATGAGTTGGTTTCTTCCTTTTCTTCTCAAAAGCTTTTAAGAAAAATGAACAAAATATTAGTACTGAATTTCAGTGCTTACCTTTTCGGGTAAAAGATGTAATTACCAAGTATCATGAAACGTGCTTTATATAGAGCAAACCAAAAAAAGAAATCCAAATAAACTTTCCTTCAAGCTGATAATACAATTTGTTGGTAAAACTGCATAAAAACAAAGCCCTGGCTCTCATGAAGCAAATATTCTAGTTGGATCAGACAGTAAGACAAAAAATAATTAACTGCATAATACGACAAACAGTAAGTTCTAAGAAAAAAAATGATAAACAGGGAAAAGGAAATAAGGGGGATAGAGTGTTGGGGAATGGGGAGGTGATGTAAATTTGAGCAGATACCTGAAGGAATTAAGGGAAAGAGTCATGCATATATCTGAGTGAAGAGTGTCCCAGACAAAGGCAACTGCTAGAACAAAGTCCCTGAGTTCTTAGCATATCTCAGTAAAAACCAACGTGGCTGGGAGGTGATAGAAGAGGTCCAAGAGACAGCAGAGACAGCTGTCTATGTCAAGGGTGTTGTAGACTTCGGCTTTGGCTGATAGAGAAAGGAGCTCTTGGGGGGTTCTGAGTAGAAGTGACCTAATCTGAAATATGTTTTAAAAGGATCACTCTAGTTAATGTTAAGAACAGATTAGAGAGAACCAAGGGTGTAAGTGAATAGGCTAGTTAGGAGGCTACTGCTGCTAAGAAAAGATTATAGGGGAGCAAGAATAGAAGGAGGGTGAACAGTTATGAGGCTACTGCAATAACCCAACATGATGGTTGAGGATATGTGACCCTGGCTGGACCATGATTCTCAGGGTTTGGCAGTGATGTAAAGAAATTTAGCAGTTACATAATGACATAATCATCCTTCATGATGTGATTTCATGTAATCAGTCAGTTGCAAGGGGAGTTTGCTCTGAGGTGTGGCCTGTATCTAACATATATATGGATGTTCTAGCAGAGCTTGCTTGCTTTCTTTGGATTTTGCATCTGGCTTGTCATCATCTGACCTCCAATTCTTGTGACTTATCAGCCTCTGCAGCCCACTATCTGACTGGCTGATCCTGAATTCATCAGCCCCTGAAGCTATGTGGGTCAGGAGAAACCTCTAGCCAGACACATGACCCACAGACTTGGGACTTGCCTGCCTCTATAACTGCATGATCCATATCCTCTACAGATCCCTGCTTAAGACACCCAGGTAAGAGATAATGGTGGTTTGAATCAGGATGGTAGCAGAAGAAATAATAAGAAGGCATCAGATATGACAAGATTTGCTGATGTACTGGGTGAAGGGTATTATAGCAGCATCACATGCTATTGGTAAACCACTTGTATAAGTTTTTCCACTAATGAAATCCAGGAAGTATCTTTAATTTATAGTCTTTAATAATGTATTAACATATATCCTAGCTCCCTCCACCCTAATAAAGCTCTTACTATCTTTTGTTGATTTTGTGGCAATCACCCCACAGTCAATAACTCGCACATCTGCATAAGGCCGGCTTGCAGCATCAGTTTTCAGATTTTCAATTTGTTCAATTACTTCAAAACCGGAGATAACTAGTCCAAAAACAACATGTACCCTGTCACAATACAAATTCAAGAAATAATTAGTTTTATAATAATTAAGCTATGAGCAATAATCAAGACAATTGTTTTAAGTGATATGTCCACAGACCTGAAAACAAAACCAAAGTATTTGATGTATGATGCAACTAGGAGTGAATTAGAATTTGGAATCTACTTTATAAAAGGAAACAGTACTAATGTCATATTATCTAAACTGGGCTTCAAAACAGTCTGAAACAGTTTTCTGCCTTTAAAACAGTGGTTCTTAACCACTGTAAGGTAAACAGTCTGATCACAATCAAACTGCACTTGATACTCAGAAACTGCCTTTACTCTCAGGGACACTCAAGACTGCAAGGCTGAGAAGTCCACTCATGTGCCCAGATTAAAGATGCCTTATGGTGACATGAGCACTATGGGGTGATCCTCAAGGAAGAACCTGCCTCTAGAGGTTAACAGAGACCAAAAGCACTTCCTTGAAGGTCTACCCATGGTCCGATTTGTTTCTTTTTTATGGATGGTCTACCCAAATGCCATCCCAAGGTAGTAAGAATGGAACTCTTACCCATCCAGGTGTGGTGCAGGTTTTGTGGTACTGTGTAACAAACATCAACACCAAGAAGATGGCAAAAACCAGATGTTCAGGTGAAGAGAGCAGAAGGGTTTAAAGCATGTAGAGAACAAAGAGGTAAAGATAAAAAAGAGAAAAAGTTAAACATGATATACATCCATACTTAAAAACAGCAACAGCAGCCATTTTACGGATAAAAGCTCAAGATTATAATTACAAAATTGTATCTATTTCTTCAGCATCATGAAAACTACACATGTGCATGAGTATATGTATGTATGCATTAAAATACATAAAATATACGTAACAGATTTGATTTGACTTATGGCTATAAAAACACATTAAAATTAAAGTTACTCTCAAATCTAAAACAACGAAAATCCCAAAACAAACAGATAAAAACCTTCACACTTTATCAAGACAATTAATAAGAATAAAATCACCTATCATTTGGCCTATGGAAAGAAGTGTGATCACCACTTGCCCCACACACTTAAGTGAGTTCCTGTATTTGTTATTTCTCATACTGAGTCAGTCTGCATCTTTTAGGCAGACAGGAGACAGGCTTCAGGAGTCCTGTTTTCAGAACTTCCCGCCCCTTTTCCTTCACTCAAGGTGATAATGTCACTCATAGGAACTCTGAAAATGTGACAGGGGAAAAACTTTCAATCTACAACATTTTTGACACCAAAGTAAGCAATGATAAGACAATTTAAATTTTCATGGCCCAGAAAATATCCAACCAGCTTCTTTTGCAGCTACAAACTATCAGTCATTCTAGGGAAGCCTACAGGGTACATTTGGTTATGATAATTTAAATTTAAGCTGGTTTTCCCATAGCATTTTCACAGATCTTCAAGTTATGTGAACTGCAGTGGAAAAGACTCAAAGCAGATAACGAGACTCAGAATTATAAACAGCTTCGTTTAGAAGAATGAGAAATAGACATTTGAGAGAAAGATCCCTGAATATCAGTCCGTATCAAAGCAGTCAATTGTACTAGAAGCTCCCATGTAAATTTCTATATTCATTTTAAGGCAATTCTAAGATATTAAAGTCAACAAAACACAATTTTAACATTCACAACAATAAAAATCATTATTCTAAAAGAAACTATAATGATTATACTTACATTAAGAATATTCAGTTCTGAAAGAACACTACAGAATTTAGTTTTTAAAATGTTTTAATGTCAAGACGTTTCAGAATATTAAAGGAAATTTTGAGTTTTAAAATTACAAGTCTCAAATTTCCCTTAGAAGACTGGGAAATGAACGTTCAAGCCAATGTAATTATAAAAATGAATAAAAACGGGCAGAAAGAAGAAAAAAATGAAAGAAAATCTAGCAAACTGGTGAACTACCAAAGCTTAATTAAACTAGCATCTCGAATCTACTCTGGACACTAAGTAACTTTCAGATAGCAATGTGCTTCCCATAATTATAGAACTTTACCAAACCACACTAACAATAGGAAGAAATGAGTCCATCAGCTAGACATTGGTTCTGTTTGATGTCAAGAAGGCTTTAAAAAGAGGTAAAAGTACTCTAACTGTAAGGGATCAGTCTCAAATTTGTAGCAGTGAAAACAATGAATACTTTACTCATTAGATACATTCCTCCTCCTTCCCTGATCCTTTCTCTCACAACTTTCCTAGATTGGGGAAAACCCTACAATTTTCTAAAATACATAGAACCTAATGCAATTTGCTATCCTGGCTAACTGTTGTAAAAAGCATCTCATGGCAAACTTTTGGATATTCTAAACCTTTAGAGCAAATGATGAGATACAACATTCTAGCTGATTACAGTAATATAATAACACAATACTTGGGCATGAATTTGAGGATGGAACAGCTATCTTCATGACAGATTCAAGTGTTGTTTTAATTCAAATAAAAGCTGAAGAACAGATGCACTTGGTCCTTTATTACAGTAGTGAAGAAAACAAATGAAGACAAAAACCGATTTCTTTCAAAGACAACTTTTAGCTGGCCCTTTGTGCCTAGATTGATGGAAATAATTAAGCCCACCGCTTGCATGTGCAGTTCAGGATGCAGAAATTCAAATTTGTATTTTAATTAGTTAGATTGCATATTAAAAATACAGAAAGTATCTTAACCAACCAAATGAAAAACCCAATCCTCTGGGGTTCTCGGGCTACTTCCAGGAGGTGAAAGCCCAAAGTAAAGCTTCTGGGCACTGGCTGACACCAGACATGGATAAAGAGAGGACATCAACCAAACACAGTTACAAAAGGGTGGTGGTGGTGGGGGGGACTGACATGCTCAGTCCAAGCTATTCAATACTATAAAATGGGCAAAGAGATCTCTTCCCATCAACTCTAAATTGTATTAAACTTTCAAAACTATGTAGCTGTTTAAAAACAATATGGTGGTGACATAAACTAAGTGTGTTAAGACCTTAAGAAGGCAGAGACTATATCAACGTGTAAGTTTAAACACACTAATGAAATTATACCCAATAGAGAAACAACCACAAAGAAAATTTCAAATGATAAAATTGCTCAATATTTACACATTTCCATTTCTCCTGTCATTATAAACACTGGATTTTCAGTTTCCCCAGCCTTAAATATCCTTAAAAAATATATGTGCAAGGGGTCATTTAAACCTTGTAAATCCTAGAAATTGAGAACTGGATCACTGCTCCCCACCCTCAAAAAAAAAAAAAACCACCTAAATTTTTATACCATTATCAAAGCAGCTCTTGATCTTACATAGAAATTAATAGTTCTGTACTGAATGAGCTCTAAAACAATCATAAAAATATAACCCTACCCCCCCCCCAGATGATATGTATGTAGAAACCTGGTGAAACAAAACTGTACTTCCCAGGATTAATCATGAACAATAAAACATACTTGTTTTACATGTATTGCTGCCATACAGATCAAGCACTTTTTTTTTTTATTCTTAAAATGATTCAATGCATATAACAATAGGATTAAAGATAAAGGCAAAGAAAGAAAAAGAGAGAGAGCCTTAGAGTAATGAGACATTACCTTTGGAGCGCACGGTGTAACACTCTTTCTGTAAATTTTACACAAAAATGGCAAGAAATAAATTGTAATACACTTTCAAGACAAGACTGAATCTATGTTTTAATATCAATATTAACTTTGAAATTAAATATTTTCAAATTTTATGCAAAGCAAGAAAGCTTTTTAAAATGGAGGGCTCTAAATTTTCTTTCCTATAGAACACATATGTAGAAGTGAATTAGGCTTAAGAAGAGCACTGTGGCGGAAGTGGGAATCTGCTCAGAAACAAAATACTTTAGTACTAGAGTGTCAACATCTATCAACAAAATATTACATTTCCTTTCACAAATTTCAGAAATTAGTTAAGACAATTAACATCTTTTCTAAGAGAATAATGTATCCTAACAATATAATTAAATATAAATATTTGAATGCCCAGGAGCAGTTATGACGAAAGCAAAAAATTCAATTAAAAAAATTGGGTTAAAGAGTTCAAAACAAACATAAAATTTTAGGGAACTTTTTACTAATTCACTTCAAACAGTTAAAGAATCGTTTATGTTTCTATGCTTGCAACCTTTTTTGTGGCCACATATTACAATAGACCACTATAAGGACAACAAGCAAATGTCTGAACTACAGTTACTATTCATTGCCATTAAATACAGTTTGTAGGTGGCATAGTGCCTAAGGCACCTGACTGCTAACCAGAAGGCTGGAGGTTCAAACCCACCAGCCACTCCCCAGAAGGAAAGTTGGGCAAATCTACTTCCATAGTGATACTGCCTCAGAAACCCAAGGACGGATTCACTGTGAGATGGCAGTGGTTGCATTTTTTTTTTTTTTTTGTAGTTGTTAAGTCACTGAAAATAATAATAAAATAATGCTAAGTCACTAAAAATAAAATAATAAAATAATGAAGCAGCATAACTAGAATTTCAGGGATCATCTCAAAGAATAAAAAGGTAAGACAGATGACAGTATAATAGAGTGTGGTGTCAAATCTTGGCATGGTACATTTTTTCCTGTCTACTCTCTGATTTCTCCCATTATAAAAAATGTTTTTTTTCAAAGAATACAGACTGACTAATTTAAAACATAACCATTACCACTTAAGACACAAAACCATACAGTAGACAAAATTCTTTATGAGGGCTTAACATATTAAATCTTAAAATATTTAAGAACAAGCTTTAATTTTGAGATATGAATTAATATAAAAAAGGATATAAAACCAAACTCACAGCTACTGAGTCTATTCCGACTCAAAGTGACCCCCCCCTTTGGGTTTCCAAGGCAGTAAATCTTTATGGAAGTAGATTGCCCTGTCTTCCTCCCATGGAGTGGCTGGCAGGCTTGAACCACCAACTTTCTGGTTAGCAGTCAAATGCCTTAGGCATTATGCCACCAGAAACCCCAAAAAAAAAAAACAATCCAAACACACTGCCGTCAAGTCAGATCCAACTCATAGCAACCCCTCCTTGGGTTCCCGAAGGAGGTATTACTACAGAAGTAGATTTTTGCCCAACCTTCCTTTGGAGGAGTGGCTGGTGGGTTTGAACCACCAGCTTCCTGGTTAGCAGTCAAATGCCTTAAGCACTATGCCACCAGAGCTCCTTTAAAAAAGGACATAATATTTCAAATAATCTGGAGTTTTTAATAAATATAAAAAATACATGACTCTAGGTATAAAGTAGTATGGAAGAAGGAAATAAAGATAACCTATTTCTCTCTAACCTTTAACATGAAATTTTTTCCTTTAACTCTTGGAAACTATCACACACCATCATGGAAGAGGCAACAAGTTGTACAGAATGACAAAGATTGTGAAAGGGCAATGGAAACTAATCAAATCACTTTCCAATTCTTGACCTATGCGTTCCAAAGGTCACCAAAATAGAAGAACTTTCTAAACTTCAGCACCAAGTTTAATGTAATATACACCAAACACTACTGTTGTTGTTAAGCGCCGTTGAGTCAGACCCGACTCACAGCGACCCCTCCTTGGGCTTCCGAGACAG